TTGGACTCAGTATTCTGGTACAAGTACACGGTGTGGTGCTCAATGTATTGGACTCAGTATACCGGTACATGTTATAGAATCCTTACAGCATACCTGGGCCTAATTTCATGGCGCTGCTTACTGCAAGTGAAAAATCAGCGCTTACCATAGCAGAAAAGTCTGTGTTTAGGGCGAACGTATTTCACGGTTTAGCGAGGAATTTCGGCTTGTGCACATGCGCACAGCCATAACTAAGGATTCCGTGCTTAAAAGGTTATTTATATTAGTGCAGAATTTGCAGCTTGAGCGGTTAGTGCAAAATGGAGACAGTAAGTGTAGAATTCTGCGGTAAGCAGTGCCATGAAATAGGGCCCCAATACAATCACGTACACGTATACTGTGTATTGGCATGGGCATATTTTCCTGATCCAGTTTTCTTCACAAAAACAGTCGCGGTTGAAAACCCTTTTTTGTCTGCCCTTATACAACTGTGCACAAATATGTTATGATACCGGGTAGCTCTGTCCCTGTTTTTACCACTTCACCGTGTAATGTTACCGTACATGTACTGTAGCTCCATCACTTATTTTACCATTAGGAAAAAGTAATCAGATATCAAAAACCTTCAAGACAAATTTGTTGATGCTGGGTTGACAGAGTGGTCGTTGCTTGCCACAGTTGATTGCATTTAAGGACCCTCTGGGGAAAATGAAGTATCCACTGGGCTTGACTTGCAAAAAAATCAAGGAAGGACATAAATTTGGCTTACTGTCTTAATATGTGGATATGTCCTGATACATCCTGTTATATGTGTGTGCAATACACATGTACATGTACACGTTAAGGACCACTTCTTTTTTAACTTGTAATTTTTTTCCAAGCAATGAGTGGGGTCTAGTTCTTTTTTTTTTGTTCATTTTTTGTGTGTCTAGATGGTGTTCTCATTGGAAAAAAATTTTTAACAATTTTAAAACATCAAATGCACATTTTCAAGATGAGAACTTGGGCACTCTCAAAATGGACAGTTTCAGGGAAAAATCAGATGACAGTTTTTCAAAATTTTCAGTCTGCATATCTGTCAATTGGCTCAATAGTGAGTACGGCCTCCTCTTGCAGCAGTAATGGCTTAACTGTCTCATGGACGTAATGAGGCGATTCATGTCTCTGATGGCCAGCACATCCCATGCAGCCTCCAGAGCCACACCCAGCTGCTGCAGTCCATGTGGCTGTGCATCCAGCTGCTTCATGCTCCTCCCCATCAAGTCCCAGACATGTTCCGTGGGATTCAAGTCTGGGGACTTCGCTGGCCAGTCCATGCGCTCAATCCCATGGTTTTCTAGGAACTGCGTCACCACCCTTGCTCATTGGGGATGGGCATTATCATCTATAAAAATGACCCCCCCCCTCCCACATTTTCTGTGAATGGTACCACGATAGGTTCAAGGACCTCACTTCTGTCATTGCTCCCCGTGGGGCCACGTAGAGACAAGTACGGTTGCCAGAGGCGATGCTTCCCCACACCATGATGCCGTCTCCCCCATAACGGTCATGTTCTGCAAATCTCTCTCCTGCTCGCGTCCAGACTCTCACACGTCCATCATTGTGGTCAAGGGAGAATCTGCTCTCATCTGTGAACAGAACATGGCACCACTGCTGTTGGGTCCATCCGACATG